CCGGGGTCTCCCCGTGCCGCGGGACCCCCGCCCCGCCGCCGCCGCCGCCCTGCCCGAGCCCCCCGTGCTCCGGTGGGTCCCGGCCCCGCCGCCCCCCGCCCGCCCCGGGGCCCGCGGCCCCACTGAGGCTCCCGGCGGGCCCGGGGCGTCACCGCCGATCTGTGCCCCGCAGCGGAGCCCGGCCCTACAGCGGAACCCGGCCCCACAGCAGAACCCGGCCCTATATGGGAACCCGGCCCCACAGCAGAACCCGGCCCTACAGCGGAACCCGGCCCCACAGCGGAACCCGGCCCCATATGGGAACCTAGTCCTATATCGGAGCCTGGCCCCAGAGCAGAACCCGGCCCTATATGGGAACCCAGCCCCACAGCAGAACCTGGCCCTACAGCAGAACCCGGACCCATATGGGAACCCGGCCCCATATGGGAACCCGGCCCCACAGCGGAACCCGGCCCTATATCGGAACCCGGCCCCACAGCGGAACCCGGCCCCATATGGGAACCCGGCCCTACAGCAGAACCCGGACCCATATGGGAACCCGGCCCCATATGGGAACCCGGCCCCACAGCGGAACCCGGCCCTATATGGGAACCCGGCCCCACAGCGGAACCCGGCCCCATATGGGAGCCCGGCCCCACAGCGGAGCCCAGCCCTATATGGGAACCCGGCCCCATATGGGAACCTGGCCCTACAGTGGAACCCGGCCCCATATGGGAACCTAGTCCTATATCGGAGCCTGGCCCCAGAGCAGAACCCGGCCCCATATGGGAACCCGGCCCTACAGCGGAACCCGGCCCTATATCGGAACCCGGCCCCACAGCGGAGCCCGGCCCCATATGGGAGCCCGGCCCCACAGCAGAACCCGGCTCCACAGCAGAACCCGGCCCTATATGGGAACCCGGCCCTATATGGGAACCCGGCCCTACAGCAGAACCCGGACCCACAGTGGAACCCGGCCCTATATGGGAACCCGGCCCCATATGGGAACCCGGCCCTACAGCAGAACCCGGCCCCACAGCAGAACCCGGCCCTATATGGGAACCCGGCCCCGCAGTGGAACCCGGCCCCATATGGGAACCCGGCCCTACAGTGGAACCCGGCCCTATATGGGAACCCGGCCCCATATGGGAACCCGGCCCTATAGGGGAACCCGGCCCCACGGCGGATCTCGGCCCCACAGCCCCAGGTGAGGGTCCCGTCCCCCCCCGGTGCCGCCCCGGCTCTCCCCGCCCCGCGGCACCGACGGGCGCTTCCCTTCCCGCAGGGCACGCGGAGGAGCCCGGGGGTGCCCCGGCGGTCCCGG